CAAAGGATGCTTTAGCTCGGAAAAAAAAAAAGAATACTAAATGGGTTATTTGTTATGCAAAACAAAACTTTATTGCATATGGCATTATATTCAGCAGTATTACCAGAGTTCAACACATATATTAAATTATTTGAAAAACAAAAAAAACCAATGCTTCATTTAATACATTCCAGTATTTATAAATTGATGGCAAAATTTTTCTCTTTTTTATGAAGCCAGAAAATATAGAGTGCACATCTTATAATGATTTATTAAAGGTTGATGTCACAAATCCAGAATTCCATCTACCTAGCAAAGTAATATTTACTGGTGCAGAAGCTTCCCACTCTCCTGAAGAAATTATCAAAAAAATCATCCAATAGCAAAAGAATTCCAAATTTCTCTGATGAAAGCTTATACTAATACAGCACAGCATATGAAACAGAAATTACCCCTTAAAAAATTCATATCTAATTAGTTTTACAGCATTAGATCCAGAGCTAAGAGGTAAAACCAGTACAATATTAGCTTTTGAAAAATTATCATCTTTTATGTCCCATATTTTTAGTGATAATGAAAAGTCAAAAGTAGAAGCTGAAATAAGGTTATACCAGAGTGATATTGATATCACCAAAGAAATGCTCTACACATCTGATGAAAGTGGAAATCAAGTCAAGTGTACAATTGATAAATATTGGTCTAAAGTTTTTAATTTAAAAGATGATTTCACAAATGATTATAAGTATCCTACATTGGCTAAATTGGTCAAAGCCTGCCTTAGCTGCTTCCATGGCCCATTAGTGGAAAGTGCATTCAACTTAATGGATACACTTGTCACTGACTATAGAACCTCTCTTAAGATTGATTCCCTAGATGCAGTGCAGACTATTAAATATGATTTAATGGCTTCTAAAGAAACCTCATGTGAAAAATATGGCTCAAAAAATCCAATGACTGATCCAATTCACAAAGATCTCTTACTGAATATGAACAGAAGTTGGAAAACATATCAAGAGGACTTAAAAACATGTATTTCAGATGAGTCACCTATAAAAGTCTCTGAAAAACCTTCTACATTAGCAGAAAAGCAAACTGCTTCTACCTCTGCATGTGCAGTTCTCGAGGAAATTTCTTCAACTGTAAATGAGGAAAATAAAAGTCAACCTTCCTGCAATTATGAAGTTTCCTGCAATTATGAAGTGTTTCTTCCTGCAAAAGAAAGACAAGCCCACAAACATCAGAAAATAAAAAAAAGCAGCAGAGAATTAGATAATTTTTTTTAAAGAATTAATTCAGGTAATTTAAAATATTTACATAAAATGTAGTAGTTTTTATAATGTTTGAAAATTTATGGTTATTAATTTTGCAAAAAAAAGTAATTCATTGAACTTTTATAATTAAGTCATTCAATACTTCATAATTGTAATTTTACATTTCTCTCCCCCCCCTTCTCGAAACTCCAAAATGTCGGTAGTAAGTCCGTAAAAGTGTCAGGGATTTTTTGGGGTCCCACAAACTCCCCTGAATACAAATAAACAATAGTTTGTGCAGATGGCAAAATATATTTATTTTTGATATTTCTAGTGGAAAATTGAAAAATAATCATTGTAGAATGTAGCGGTGGTACTTAAGTTTTTCAGTTAGATGGTACGCGTTAGTCTAAAGTTTGAGAACTGCTGGTCTAGATTACAAAAATTTGCTACATATTTTAACTCTCAAGTTCATGTAGATTTAAAATATGTAATAAAAGATATGCAATTTTTTAAGCGATTTTGATTTAAAAAAGTGAGCAGTCAAAGGATTAATATATATTCCATGGGAAAATGTAATTTAACTGGATATCAAAACAAATTTTAGTGATTAAAATTTTGCGTATAAAAAGAAAACTAAAAGCTTATTTACTTGGCTGCCGCATTATTTTTTAGATTATTTTTCATTTCTATTATTTCAATTTGATAATTCTGGGAAAAGTATAGCACACTATACCCAAATCAAAATATCATTACATCCTAAAATAAAAGTTAATTAAAAGAACTGCTCATCATACTTTTTTTAATTTTATAATTTACATTTCCGTCAGCGTTTTTATCTTGCCTTTTAATTCATTGTCATTTTGAATGCGTAATTATTATTATTATTTTTTAATTTAATTTTAAATGATAGAATCTGTAATGAACTGAATGTTGGAAAAGTATGGTGAAAGCAGAAAAATAAGAAATCCTTTTAAAATATGAGGCCAAATAGCATCCTCAGGTTCTCTCCAGGCTGAAATGTTAACCTACTGATGACCTAAAAATTTACATAAAATGTACCTAAAAGTTACTATGTTATTGTTCATGCAAGAATGGTAAAGCCTCACTCCTGAGTAGGGCTAGTTTTGAAAAGAAAGTAGTGCTTTCGCATAAGAAAATCAACAGCAGAAGTTAATTCTTGTTCACTGAGAATCGCAGATGTGCAAATGTGTGACTGAGTGACTTATTTATAAAATTCATGCCATTAATAAAAATGTATATTTTATTTCAAGCTTTTATAGTTAAAGCTGATAATTCGTTTTCTTTTTCCTTTTCTTCTTACCTCCCCCCCCTTTTCAAAACTTATTTAAGCAAATATTTTCCAAGTTGTATCCATATTCTCTCTTTTTATATATGTAAACAAATGTTCAGAAATTTCAAATTGAGATAATAAATTATTGAAGTTGTTCAGTATACTGCAAAATTAATTAAATAATCAAGCAAAAAAAAAAAAAAAATCAAAAATTAGATCAAGAAAGGGGTCAAAGAATAATCCCTTTCTTCTAATTTTTGATTTAATTATTCTCTTTTTGATGTATATAGATATCTCTTTATTATAATATTTTATATATATATATATAAATTATAAGTAAAATTATTAAATTTTCATAAATGCTATGAATTGAGATAAAAATTATTGAAGGTTCAGTATACTGCAAAATTAATTAAATAATCAAGCAAAAAAAAAAAAAAAAAAAAAAAATCAAAATTAGATCAAGAAAGGGGTCAAAGATAATCCCTTTTTTCTAATTTTTGATTAATTATTCTCTTTTGATGTATATAGATATCTCTTAATTATAATATTTATATATATATATATATAAATATAAGTAAAAATTATTAAATTTTCATAAAATGCTATGAAATTAATTAGATAATAATATAAATTAAATTCTACATAGTGGCAAACTTGCTAACAGAAACAGGTTAGGTTAGGTTATTTAATTACGGCAAAGCCTCGAGGGCTATCTGCCTAAGGGGAGGGATGCCTTCGTGGAGGACTTTCTAAGGGAAACTGCCTCATATACACGTTACACATAGGGAAAAACAAGAAAACCCCCATGCAGCCAGCTTGTTCGCGAGATTCAAACCTCGGACTGAACTACCAGTGTTCAGCGACTTTACTGCTTGGCTGCTTTAACACTAACAGAAACAGGAACAAAGGCAAATGAATACAACAGTATTCATATAATTTTAAACAATAAATAAATAAATATTAGCAGTTTAATATTCTTCAGTCTTTTTAAAGAACCATCTTAAATAATTTTCAACAGAACCTTGTTTCTGAATTTTATCTGTTTTTAAAAATTATCCGGTATTTGAAACAAAACTTTAGTAATTAGTAAGTAAATTAAACAAAACCAAATTAAAGACCAGTAAAAAAATTAAAATTAAAAAAAGAAACACTTTTCTGTAATTGGAATTCAGTCATAATCTGCTCCATGGCACAAGATAGATAAGAAAGTACAAAATCAGTACTAAAAATGATAAATATTTTTAATCAAAAGGAAAATTTACAAATTATAAAAGCAATATTGCAAATGATATGAATATATGTTGCAAAAAATCAAGTGTTTTGTGTAAAATAAGTGCAAAAAAAAAACAAGTGATTTGATAATTAGAAAAATTTTTGATAGGTAAAAATATCCCAAATTTAAAAAAAAGCAAAAATCTGTATTACCTAGTTGGTGTAAATTATAATTTCCAAACAAAGGAAATTGTAATATATAGGTTTATTGCCTCATCTTTTGCTTTGAATTTTACAATTTCCTAAGCTCTGCACTACATAGGATTTAATTTATCTTTATTAACTCTTGAAAGACACACAAATACATGTGTAAGAGCAATGCCAATAAGTTAAAGCAGTGCCAATGGGCAAAAATGAGGTCAAAGTAAATAATAAGTGAACATTGTAAGTTCTGTAAAAGTATCTTCATATGAGTTTTTAAAAAGGTGTGTCTGTGTAACTTTTATTTATTATTATTTTTTTAATGCAAAGTGGTGTACTAAAAATGATTAGAAACTGTTAAAAAAATGATTGGCTGATTTTATGCTTGTTTTCTGGCAGGATTTAAATAAATATCAGCAAAGAAAATCTGACTATGTACCTATATATACTATGTTTTTAATTTGTGAACTCATTTAAAATTCCATAATGCATTTAAAATAAATATGACATATTTTCTGTATCTTAAATGGTACTACTGTTTTCTCAGAATTAGACTTAAAAAGCGATCTGTGATATGTATTTTCATTACTTAAGTGAATACTTTATAAAATTTATGTCTGAATCACTAGTAAATGTACATTTAAATGTAAATTTTGTGTACTTATGTAGATAGAGCACAACACTTGAACAATAAAATGTTTGTATATTACGCATGTTTACAACATAATTTGATTAAGGAATGACTAAGGGTTATTTTTTTCAGTAATTTTATATGTAAGTAAGTTTAATATGTAATAATAATGTATAAACAGTGTGCTAGATTTCGTTTTCTGAAAATAATTTCATTTAAAAATTACATGGTTAAATTTGAATTGTTGTGTATTTGAAGTAATAATTTAACATATACATTTATTTTATAATTTGAATGTTATCCAATATCATCGTTCAAATTGTGAAGGCAGAAATCTTGTTTTGCCAAAAGTAAAATTGTATAAATTTTATGCTGTTTATTAATTTATTACATTTTTTTTTGAAATTTATTCTTCTTTTCTGTTGCATAGGTGCTATTGAAAAAACTTTAGAGCTGCCATTAGATACTGCTGAATTGGCAAACCAAGCTACAAAATTATTAGAAGAACACGATTTTACAGAAGTACTAAATAAAATTCCAGATGATGCTTTTAACGATCTCTTTGTTGGTAATGTTTTTAGTTAAATATTTTGGAAGTCTTTCTCTGTTTTTGGGGTATACTATTAAATTTTTTGCTTTGCATGTCAGTTGTTAATGTCAACTGATTCAGCAAAAGTCAGATTAAAAATAAAATGAAAGTATATCTTCATATTATCCATAATTTGTATTATGCCAATGACCATGGAAATTGATTACCATCAAACTATGAAAATTAGCTGAGATCCTGACTAAGTTGTGGCAATCATTCCTGTAAATTCTGAAGGAAGTGACACCTCTTTATTAAATAATAATGATCTACTTCATTTCTGTGCTTCTTAAAAATGGATTTTTACTATTTTGTTATGCCGTTCAAATTTACTGTTAACTCTGTTTTGAACATTGTGAGTACAAATGTCTTTGAATTGTTCCAATTTATTTTAATTTTATTCCAATTAAGTGATTGTTCCAATTTATTTTAATTTTATTCCAATTAAGTGATTGTTCCAATTTATTTTAATTTTATTTCTGCAGATTTCCATATAGTATTGATATACGCACTTTTTTGAGGAAAAGATCCTATACTCTGAAAATAATCTGCTGCTTTCTGTTCTGTAGAAGGCAGGTGCCAAATTTCAATTGATTTTTGAAAAAATCAAGAAAAATATTAACAATGAAGTCAATTTAAATCCTTATTCTTAAAAACTAAACATAGATTGTCAAGAATCAATCGGGGTTGCATGAAACGGGAGCACAGATGCTGTGAGTTGGTTGTTCTTTCACGCTTATTCGCAGTTAGTGCTAAATCACACTGCTTGGAAATGCTTTCACAGTTGACATTATAGTGTGTAAATACATGTAATTTTTCATGCTGCATGACCATTATTTATCTGTTTTTATCCAAGTTGCATATCATACCCATTAATGCACTCTGTTCCTTTAGGACAAGTCACAGATTTTATTTTATTTTATTTATTTATTTTTTTCCAAAATGTAGAAACAAAACAGACAAACAGCAGCTAACTGTTTTCTTCTCAAAAAACTAAACTGACTTAACTGTTATTGATATAAATTGAAATTCAGTTTAAAAATCTGTTAAGTTTACTGATGTGAAAGCAGATCTTATAATACCAAAAAAAAAAACACAAAAAGAAATGCATATATCTGATTGTAATGAAAGTTTTCCACCAAAATACATTCTGAATAAAATTGGGTGGGGAAAACATGAAAGCAGTAGCTTAGGTGCAGGTAGTAATCACCACCCAAATCTATGAATTTCTGCCAACTTTTAGGTAGTTTTTCAAAGCTTTTGGCCCAGAAACTTGGTGCCCACTAGTACGAAAATAGATCATCTCTCATTTCGAACGTTCTGTGCAGAATGGAAGATAACACCAGCAAGATGTAGCTGCAGGTCTGGAAAAAGGTAGTCTGAAGGAGCGATGTCGGAGCTATATGGTGGGTGTGGCACAAGATCCCATTCAAGTCCGTACAAAGTCCAGCCGTATCTTGATGTATCTTAAACACATGTAGTATCTTGATGGAATATTATTACCCTTTGCGGAAAAACACAATTCGACATTTTCCCCTGATAACAGCGTCAATATGGACTAGCATCTTGCTGTACACCGTAGTGTCGAGGGTTTTACATTTTTCCAGATACTCTTTGTGGATAATACCACGGCAATCCTACCAGATAGAAAGCGTGATCTCTTTGTTAGTCAAATTTCACTTTGCGACGCTGCTGTTGGGCTTACCAGGTGCAGACAAACCCCTTTCTGACCTGTTTTGTTGGAGTAAATCCACTTTACATCACAAGTGATGATCTGGTCCAGAATTTTGTCCTTGTGTGGATATTTGAGCAAATTAGTGCAGGCCCGAGCATGTCTGTTCTTATCTGCTTGCATCAGCTCATGCAGCAACCAGAGATTATACTTGTACATCAATTTTATGTGATGCGTAGCACGACTAATGGACAGAGCACCTAATGTCTAACTCCTTAGTAGCAAGCTCTCGAGTTGTTGCATGCTTATCTTCTTCCGAAAGTTCTTGCAGGTGGGCTTCATCAATATCAGTAGGCCAGCCAGAGGGCTCTGCTTCTTGAATGTCATAGTTCTTTTTTTTAGTTTCAGTACCAAACCTTCACGGTGTTATATGATACAACATTAGTAATAAAACTGTGCACATGATTTGGTGACATTCTGTAACTGACTTTTTACAATAGAACTAGAAGTAAATGATGGTTCTAAACTTGCAGTGTAATAGTTCCATTTGACACCTTGTACTTAATGATAACCATAATTTTCTTTTCGACTTCACACATTCTTCCAAATGCTATAAATTGTTTGATAAAAGACTGTTAAAACATGATAACACAAACTGTTTGCACAGATGATATTTGCGGTGGCAGGAAACTTTCGTCAAACCCGATACTTATGTACACCATATTCACAAAAGTCCTTTATTTGTTAAACCATTGATCATAGACAGGTACTTCTAATTACAGAAATGTTTAAATAGTGCACATGTTCATGCTTTGGCCTTTTAAATTTAAAGGGAAATAATGTGTAACAGTTATGTAATCTGGTTTTTTGCGCGTTCTCTTGATCCCTTTTATATTTAGGGAAATGTTTTATTTATTATAAAAAGTAGAACAATGAAATTCAGTTTAAAATTGCACTTCATGACAAATGAAATATAATGTCCGAGAAAGATTTCTCATGTTAGTGACAGGCATTTCTCTGCCTAATTTGTCTTAAAAAAAAGAGATCTTATTCACCAAATTTTTCAGAATTCTTATTCTAGAAAACACTGGCTGCCTTCAGTATTTTCATATTGCCTACTCGTAACATTAGTGGCATAATTACAAATTTTTTATGAATCAGATCAGTTGTCTGTGCATGCTCAACTGTCAACTCAACCCTCTTTAAAGTTTCATTGACCCCCAGTGTTCAATGAGGACACTCTTGGGAATTCATGGTTTGTTTGTTGCTTGTTGGCATGTGAAATTAAGCTTTAATATTTTTTATCCAGGTGCTGTTCTAACATTTTGCTGTGTTATTAAATTTCTAGGCTTTTATCAATGCTGAAAAGGCCATTTTGGAATTTTGATAATAAGATCATCTGCTGAAATTTGATATAATTATTAATTCACCATTTAGATTTTATAGTTGGCTTTCAGCATGCCATCAGAATTTAATTGCTTATTCAAGAAATAACTCATTGTAGTGTGCATACTTTCATGATACCAAGAAAGCATTTGACAATGTCTAGCACTAGCTTTTGTTATAAGTAGCTTTTCTGTACCTTGATGTAACTTTTCAGAATTTGGAACACCTATTTATTTGTCAGTCACTTCAAACTTATTTCATTTCCCCCGTATTTTGACCTTTGAATATCTTTACGAAGGAGGTGTGTATGTTTCTGTATGTCAGAAGTTCTTAATTTTGGTTTCTGATTTAAGTTTTTCCTCTCAAAAATGGCTTTTCAAATTTGAATTAATTTAAGTGTGCACATATATATATGCAAACTTGTGCATTCACTTAAAAATCACACATGCCTAAAAACAAAAACCCTTTGAGCAGACATCACAAATTAGAAAGTATCTTGCAAAGGGAGAACATGAAATAAGGAAAAGTAAATCCGAAAATAGTACTTAATACTGAAAAATAATTAAAATACTGAAACTAGATTGAACATCAGAAAATAGTATGTTCAGGGTCCGTACAGTCCTTAAAAGTCCTTAATTTTTTCAAAAATGATTTTTGGTCCTTAAAAGTCCTTAATTTTGGCCAAAATGAATAAACGGTCCTTAATTTTGCTCATTTGACATTTCTTATCATTTCTAATGATTGCCATTGTAAGTGTGAATTACGATTTCTCATCAATATGGAATTAAAATCACACGTCTCTTAACCAATCTGTTGGCAGATTTGTGTTGCAAACGATAAAAAAAAAACAATTAGCTACCCGAACGAAAGTATCGGTGTCTGATTGGCTATTCACGCAATCTTTCGAAACAGGTGTTATCCATAAATTTAGGCAGACTGTGACGAAAGCGTGAAGCTGGAAGTTCTTTAAGAGGCGAAAGTGATGATGAAGGTGCTCGAGAAAAAAAAAGGAGGGGGAGATTCTGAAAATATTTGCCAAAATTAGAAGCAATTCCAACCTGGAAGGCCACAACCCCTTCCGACGCCAATAGGAACGAGATGCCTGGAAAGTGCATTTTCAATAAACTGTGGCTTCATCAAGCTGGACTACAAAGACTGGATATTGATGGATGGCAATCCTTATAAAGCTAAATGGTGGTTCTTTGTCTGAAACAAATTGAAATTTCTAGAATGGGAGAGTCAGCGCTGAAAATTCACATGAAAATTAAGTTTCGTTTTATCATTTCAATTTGTTTTTACAAACGGTTTTGCTTAGCTTAATTTCTGTGTTTGTTTTTCAATTAAGCCATAAATTAATTTTTTATCACCTTCTACGGAGTTTATTCTCTTTTGCACATACTATATGTATTGGGATATCGGGATTATGAGTTTATTTCTGCAGAGGGTCTGCTATCGATTTTCGCGGGAATCTGTTGGCTCCATTTTCGATTTTAGGTCGCCAAGGGCAAAATTCGGTAACGCTAGCCGAGAAAAAGTGAAGTTCGGAAATACATTTTGAAGCTTCAATAGACAATTAAGTATTTGGTTTAAACCTATGTTGTTGATAGTAATGCATAATTTTTGCTAATGGCGATACATTATTATTAGTTGAAAATAACTACTAATTAAAAAAAATTTTAATATTTTTAAAGCTGAAAACAACTAATTGAAACTAATTTTCCTGAATTAACTAGACGCAAAATTAACTTTCATGAATTACTAAAGTTATTGGGTAGAAGTTTTAACTGAAAATATACATTCCGTATTATATATATATATATATTTATACAGTGTACAAAGTCCGAGGTCTGGACTCGTCGGGACTTCGGCGATCCCAGATTTGAGATTTTTTTTCCGGATATTAGATCATTTTAAATCTACTAAGATGGCACGTAGAAATTATAAAATTGAAAATATGAAATCGTGATTTATGAAATAATGAAGCATTTATGATTTAAAGGGTATCAAAATTTACCAAAAGAAAAGAGCTTAATATTTATATGTTTACTTTATTAAACATTTCTTTCAATGTGAGTTGTTTGATTTGTTTTTTCTGCTAATACTTTAGACTAATACTATAGACATATAATTTCTTTGTTCAGTTATTAAGTTCCATTGTTCAAGTCCTGTAATTGCTATGTCGAGAATTCCGAATAACTTGTCAATCAAAATTTTTTTTCTCGTTCAGTAACCTCTCTGTTACTTTCTTTCTTCACTATCGGTAGCTGTATTTTCTGGATTTAGAACCATACTACAGATTTCGCCCTCCGTTAATTTGATTGATGATTGGGCATTGTCATTCGCAATGAAAAACTTCTGTTTAACTTCGCTAAATTCTGCCGCCTGGTGCGGCCATGCAAGCTCTGGAGCTGGTTCTGGCTTTATGTGAATAACAAATCAGTTATTCTTAATTCAAATAGCACTAAATATAATCGTTTGTCCTATGAGTATCATTAACAAAATCTATTTTTAGCATAAGGAAAGAAATTTCTTCTGCTAAATCTCCCCTTGTCAACATTTTTAGCGCATTAAATTTAAATCTGTAATCGATAATACTCTGTTATTTGGCATCGCTGCATGATTCATCACTCAAGTTGTCATCTTCGTTGATAAACATGCGGTGATGAAAGCAAAATACAATAAATAATGATTCGCGATTTCGGCATCAAGGATATAAAATATTAGTTGGTGTAAAATTAACAAATGTTTCGGTTTGAGATTATGCCAAGCAGATACGCAGCTATGGAGTCAAGTTACTAATCACACAAATTTATGCTAAAATATTATTATTTCTTCAATAATGAGATATTTTATTTAGCACCAAACTGAGATTAAGAATCGGGATTTCTGGACATTTTTTTTTATGATGAGGAAAAAAATCTAAATGCGCAATTTGGGCGTGGGTAAAGCATACCCCTTCCCTTCAAAAAAAGCCATAAAATATTGGTGGTGGCTTTGAGGTCTGGATTTTAGATCATTCCAGATATTAGATGTCCGATCTCGGACTTTGTACTGTATATATATATATATATATATTTTTCATTTTTAAAATATAACTTACCAGTAAATGGATTCAACTCAATATTTTCACTATTCAAGTATCTTGTCACATGAACAGGCCTCTGTGGAAAGGGGCTTCTTCTCTGTAAATAAAGCAATTGAAATTGAAAATTTAAGTGACTCATCATACATTTTTTCAACGCACAAGTATTTGATTACATGTAAATTTTCTGGAGGTGTTCTTAATATCGAAATTAATAAAGAAATGAGATCAGCAGCAGCAGCTTCTGCAAGAAGTGGAGTTCTTATTTAGAAGTTCAGTATTTAGAAGAACAAAAATCTTTAACTAAATCTGAAAATTCAAAAATTCAAAGAGGAAAGAAATATTATTGAGGAAGAAATTGATTATATGAAGCAGAAGAAAAATTTTCTTCAAAGGGACATTAAAGATATTAATGAAGAAGTAGATTGCTTTAGCAGATGAAGCTGAGACCAGCAGTAACATTGATTTGTTTATCAAAGCAAATGAACTTAAAAGAGTAGCTAAGAAAAAGAAATAGACATATAAATTAGATCTTAAAATAGCTGAAAAAAGATTTCAGATTTAAAAAAGCACAAATGTTTTGTATCTTTTATTGTACAGTTTTGTTATTCTAGTATCTTTCAAAAACCAAAGGAAATAAATTGTATGTTTACAAATCAGTTATTTTAATCTGCAAAATATTCTTACATTGTGATTATAATAGTAGTTGACTGTGTTTAAATAAATATCAAATAAGTTAAATAATAATCATGTAAATCTCTAAAATAGTGACTGTTATTAGTGTAAAATACACTTATACATGTTTTTCAAGAAATTATGTTCCTCATTTAATGTTATCTACTTCATAACATGTAGGGAGTTAGTTTAATTTTCAAAATTGTTTTATGGTAAGTATTAATTGAATTTAATAATAGTGCATAATACACACTTCTGTTAGTTTCTTAAAGTGAAATTGCAAGCATGAAGTCGGTTGTATGGATAATTGCTTTATTCTATTCATTTTTTTGTTTGCTGATAGGTCCTTAATTTTTTCTTTCATGGTCCTTAAAAGTCCTTAATTTTCATGTAAGGAAATGTGTACGAACCCTGTATGTTATAATATTAATTTTAAATCTTGTTTTCTCTAGATACTAGAAATGGAGATTATATTCCTACCAGAGAAGAAACGGAGGAACTAGAACGAGCACTTGCTGCTGTTTCCAAAGACGTCCACTTAGCTAGAGAATCTTTAGCAAAACTGTCATCTTCAACCACAGGGCCTGACCTAGAAGAACTGGAACGTACTATAGAAATACATGGGAGTTTATTGGGTGCTGACAATTTGACAAGTGCAATTGATGACAATTCTTTCCCTGAATTATCAAGCAGTCATATGGATAGTTTAAATGTAATTTCTAGTAGCTTTTCCACCAGTGACTTAAATTCCTTTACCCAGGCACTCTCTGCCATGGCACCAGAGAGCCTGGAACAAAATAATCTTCCCACAGTATCTGATAGTTCACTTATTTCAAATTCAGTTAACTTACCACTTGTGAATTCTGACCTTTCCCACCCTCATATGCTCAATGGCCATTCTGAAGTCTTAGGTGGACTTCATCCCTTACAGCTAGAACCAGCCTTCTCTGCCAGTCTTTTAAATTCAACCACAGATCTTAATCTTGCAAGTGCAGCACCTAATCATGGGACAGCTGATGCCAGACTGCTTGGAAATAGTTCACTGTTATCTGCAGTATTGTATAATCTTGGCCAAGCATCTTCCAATGCATCTCCTTCTCCACAAACATTTTCTGTAGCATCTATTTCGGGGAACACTACAGCTGAAGAGGCCAGTATTATGTCTAATTCAGGAGGCCTTAATTCAAATCATTGGTTGCTCAATTCAACAGATCAAGTCCTTGCCCTTTCACAGCTTGCTTACCAGAATGGATTTCTTTTAACTTCACAAGGTGGTAACACAGCTTATGCTAATGCCTTGGTTGGAAAGTATCCCATGCAGGACCTCAATTCAGATCTGTCTTTGGGATCCAGTGATTCTTTGATGGCACCGACTGGTTGCAGTGCTGAAAATGTGATATGTGGCACATCAGAGCAACCAATGCACTCTATAAATATTTCTAATAGACCTGCATCATCATTGCAGCAGACTAGTTCTGTGAAAGTTATAGTGCAAGAAGGAGCTTCCTAGCAGTTGCTTATGTATAATGTACAGAATCCTGGCCGTACCATGTAGGAATGCATTTAGGTGTACATTTGCACATTACACTGCTGTAGAGGCTCACATCAAGAGTGTTCTTTTACATATTCTTGAATATGACCTCCTACAGGCAGTTTTTGGACGGGTATGTGTACCTTAATAGCATCATGCTCAACTCAGAATTGTTTCTTGTGTGTAAAGATTCTCATATACTCGGTGTGAGTGTGTCATTAGACTTGTGTATAGCTTCTTAAAGCAGTTCACTTTTTCATATTTTGTACAGATATTTAATGTTGTGTTTTTGTTAATTTGATCAGTTTTGTTAGATTATAAATTTGAGGACCATATGAACATGCTTTATGGTGTATTTGTTGAGGAAGAATATAACATAAACATTTAATTCAAAAAGTATAAATAAATAATCTACCTCTGATTGCTTAGTTTCACTTGTCCTCTTGCAGAAATTTTAATTATGAGAAATTATTTTAATTCATTTGCAGGAATACACATTTTTTATTAAAAAAACAAGTTTCTGAAAAATTTTCTTTATGTGTCATTGAAATATATGTGATGCTATTTTAACCATGTTTAGAGTATATTCTTAACTAATAAATCATACATGTATTTCTATTTAATTTTTTATTATCAGTCTGCATTTTGATATTTTCTGAATACATTTCTTAAATGTATTGCTTAATTGGTATATTTTTTATGCTAAGATTTTAAGTAATATACTAAAAATTGTTAAAATTTTCAAAATGTATTTTAAAGATTTCATGATAATTTTCTTTGTATGTCATTGGTCATTTCTACTAGAATAAGTATACTCATTCATTAAGAATTTAGCAGTTCTTTAATTTTATAGGAAACAGTAATAATTAACATTTGTTGCTTATACTTTATACATCATTTTTTCGACAAATTAAAATTTTGAAATTTTATTTTTTTAATAAGCAATCAGTGTTAAATTATTTATACAAAAAATGTCAAATGATAAAAATTTTAGCGTATGAAGCAGTATAACATCTCCTCCTTGAAAAGCTGTCATTGAAGCTTTTCGTAAAAAATAATGTGGCCTAATTAAACAATGCAGCTTATAATTTAAAGTTAATATTGTGGCATTTTCTCCTTAAATAGAAAACAGTTGCATATTTGAAAGCATTATAATTGAAATTATATTGTCTAATTGTCATACTGTCATATTTGCTTCCTTGTGTGGTGTTAATTTATTTAACAGTGTAAATATATTATGTGTTCTGTGTTAATGTTTTGTCTTTTTTAAAAAACCAAAATCCTAGTGATAATGTTTGAACAAGCATGCTTTATGTTTTTTTTTTTTTTTTTTTTATTTTTTTATCTTGTAAAGTAAAGGGAAAAAAGTACTGTGATATACGTATAAACATAAAATGTTGAAGTTCTTAATTATTGTTGTTTCTTAAATTAGTTTAAGTTTTCTGAAATATAATAATATGTATATTTTTTTAAAACGTAAAAAGAAAAATTTGCATTTTTATGTTGCTTTTCCCCCCTAAGTTCTTTTCATTCTTATGTATAAACCTTGCATATTTAATTGTATGTAACTTCAAATATTTTTTCCATTTGTAATTTGGAAACTTTTTGAAGCCAAGAGACAACATTATATTCATAACTATTTGGGCAAAATTCTTTCATTTTCTCTCTCTCTCTCTTTTTTTTTTTTTTAAAAAAAAGATTGTAATCATCATCAAAACATTTTTCTATAATATAAACCTTACATTTTACTGTGGATTGTGTTAGATTGCTAACAATAAATGAATGTTTTGAAAATGGTACAGTATTCACATTATGGTATTGATAAGCAACTAGCCAAAAGTTAGAGACATTTGAATTTATACAATTATATGGACTATTCTGATATAAATTTTGATAAGCTGAATTATTTAATTTTTTTTTAATTTTTGTTTCGAATAGTTCTATAAAAATAATGTATGTGCTTCTTTAATTTTCCAATGCAAAGCATTTATTTTAATTTGTATAAGATGTAGCCTGAAGGAACTTGCCATTAATTTCACATCAGTGTTTGTGACAATTTCATTCATGGAATGCACCTTTAAAATATTTATGAGTTTAATTTTGTAGCAGAAGAAACTATTGCCTTTCAAAGACTTTGTCTGTGCATCTGTCTGTACATTGACTCGTATGGCATTTCCATTTCTGGAAGCAGGCCTGGAAATCCCTCCCTCCCTCTTTTTTTCCTTCTCATACTCTGTTCTTCGTAATATCTGTTTTTGCCTTTTTTTTAGTGTTCATTTTTTGATAATGTGTTAACATTTTCTGTGCCATTCAAGCATTGTGGTATCATCACATGCCATTTTCTTCCATCATTTCATGCCATTTTCACATGCTTTGCTTTATTTCAGATGCCTCCCTCTCCCAAATAGTCATGGAAAAAGTGATTTTAAAATGAAGTGGCAAATGTTTTGGTCCCCCTTTTTTACACAGTGTGCACTTGTAGGCATCTGTTATTTTTCCAGTAACTAGCACCTACTTATATCAGCTTGAAGTTGATTAACTTTTTAGATGTGATAGGTTAATGCTGTAAACAAATTCTGAATACATGCTGTAAACAAATTCATTATAATTTTAACCATTTTCAAAGTTGGATATCGTGGACTTTTTTAATGGCCAAATCCTTAATTAAAAAAAAAACTTTACTGCACACTGTCCCAAATATTAGTAATTTTCTCAAAATGTGAGTAAATTAGAATTTGGATTTTTCTTTTCAAAAATTATAATTGAATTACATTAAACTGAAGTGAAGTTTATGTGACCCTGTTGTGATGCCATGCTTATCCATTGTTGGCATTAACCCTTTCGCAACGGTGCACATTTGTTTCAGATGCTTATGCGGCATGGAAGGGAATCAAAGGGAAAAAAGTTTCACTTCTAGCATTGTAATTTTTGGTATCATTTTAGATTATTACTTGAGCTCTTATATATGTTAAAATTAGCATTTAATAACCTTTGTTTCTTTATTTTACATGAAAATATATTTAAAACATTGCTTATTTTGTAAAATAATTTTCAGAAGCGCTATTCAAATTATTCCAAAGTTTTAATTGATAAAATTGATCAATAATGTTTAAAATTAATAAAACAATACAATAAAGACTATTTACAGGAAGAAGTAACAAAATTTAAAATGAAGACTGAGTTTGGTAAATCTCGAAGCACGGAGGAATTTCACTTTCTAACTCTTTAGAAAATTAGTCATCACTCTCATCTGTGTTAGTAAATGGTTCATTAACCATAGGAGTGTATTCTTCCTCTGAAAAATAGCACCTTCATGCCATAATAGACTGGAGGTGAGGCTTTCCAAAATAAAAAGAAAAGAACCCAAAATTTGTCTAAAGGCAATGCAAAAGGTAACAGAGCTCCACATAGTAACTCTAAAAGACTGGACATGGTAGAGGAAATGCGGCTATTTAAAGAGCCCACCTTGTTTATACTTTCCCTCCCCCCACACCCTCACAACAGTTGATGAGTAAATTATCAAAGTTAGGCAGAATATATCAAACTCAAAGTCAGGAACCTAAAACTGTGTTCATTTCAAAAGTAATTTACAAAGGATGTCATCTAGTGGCATTAAAAAAAAACATTCCAGCTTAAAATGCGTAAACGCATCCTCTGAATACAATCTCTAGTGATGCGTGGATGGGACACCTGGCTGTAAGAGATAGATATTCTTAAGGAATGTTTATATGGAATGCCCATCCTGAAAGGGTTAAATCACACTGTTTGGCACCAATGTATATATGTTAATAAAATAATGAGCCATGGCATCACAAAACTCTCATTGACTAAATTTCTTAAATTCTAAAATAATCCAGTTAATTGAATGCCGGATAGTCAGGCTTTTACTGTTTTAAGTGATTTTAATGAAGCTACAATACAAGCAGTGTTGTGTCTATTCCAGGAATTAAATTGTGACTGCTTCTGTTCTTCTATCTCCCCTCCCAATAATTTTAATATTAAGATGTATAATTATTTCTGTATTGAATTTCTTTTGATTATTATTTTTCAGTTTACAAATGTTAAATAAAAACTAGTTAATTTTCTGATGTTGCTGTTTGGTTTTTATTTATTTCTCAGCTGCCAAACTGTTTGAAAATTCTCTTATGGTAGTTTAAAAACAATATTGAGTAATATAACCAGTTATTTTCATATATTTTAATAATTTATGTGAAAATAATGTGAGTTTGAAATTTATTGTAATTTTATCATTAAAAGTTGTTGTTAAATTTATAAATGAGGGGATTGACAAATGCATTGTTCTAATTTTCCTGTGTTATCTTTGGCTAGTTGTTAGGTATTCCATACTCATATACACCTAAATATATTAGTTATGGAATGTCATCAAACTTTATCTTTTGAATTATTATCCAAACTGACATGACCACTTCTTAAGAGTATTTATTCTGCATTTATATATAAAATGTTAGGTTAATGTGAAAATTAAGTTGGTATTTGGAAAGTGGGAAAACTGTTTCTTAGTCATTATTACAATAGTGTATTACAAACATGGCTAAAATCTTTGGCATTATAATTATGTTACTTTTTGGCACTTTCTAATGACTATATTATAGAATATTTTATTTATTTCTATCTCAATTTTTGTCCACAGTTCAGATGGTGTCTTCTTATGGATAGTAAAAAAAAAAAAAAAAAAAAAGCAAAACGTTTTTTTTTTTTTAATTTTTTAAATAAGGTATATTTTCAACATTTATGTTGTATTACTTTAATCATGTGTATGGGTATGTCTTTGAAACATGTGACAACTACGGGATAATATGTAGATCAGTTTTGTTTCTTTTAACTATTTTCTCTATCAAATTATTAATCATATAAAGTTTTTATGACAATAATTTACTATGTGTAATTTATCTCAAAAGTGATAGATCAATTAAATTTTTAATGATTTTAGCAGTTTAGTTTCTGTTTTATTAGAAATTGTGAAAGGAATCCATACATATATATAGCACCATGTAATAGTGTATTTATGTTGAGTAATAGTAATTTGAGTAATGCAAGCATTAAGTTATGGAGGTGGAGGTAAGCTTTATTTTTAAATGATTGTTTTCAAATAACAATTTAAATTATGAAAAAGGGAACTATTAATTTGCTAAGCATTCTAATAATAGAAATAATTTTATAGATGTCTTTTGATTATGCTAAATAACATAGCAATAAACACTTATGTTTAGACTTGTAGTTGATTAAAAATTGCTTATTTAAAAAAGCGCCTCAAAGTATTTTCAATGCAGTTGTTTTTTAGATCTTTTTTCTGCATGTAATTTATCTTCAAATATTTCATAATTGTATTTATATCACTGTGAAACTTGGAGAAATTAATGTCAATTAGAATGTCAAGTTCATCTTTTGCACAGTAAAATGGTTGTACTTTGCATAATTTTTCTTTTTTATTTGCTACTCCTACTGTAGCAAAATTGTCATTAACTGGCAGATATGTCTCATATTTTGAATTTCCATTTTGTAATTTAATGTCAGCTATCTTCTGTTGCTCGAAAATGGAAGATGGACAAGTTTTTTAATTTATGTTGAATTGAGTGGATATTCTCTTTGCAAGCAAAATTTTTTCCATAA